CCCCAAAACCCCAAAACCCCAAAACCCCAAAACCCCTACAATCAATAATTATTTGAATAATTTAAATTTAAAGACTTTGCTCAAATGTCTACATACGCTAAATATATGGATAGGTACAAGCGGATCAGGTCTTCATCGCAGGATCCGAAACCAGACATGTCCTTTAAGAACGCTTCGATGATAGACAGGGAAACTTATACAAAATTCATGGAGCAAGAACTCGAAAAGGTTGGTGCGGCATTTCTTAAGGTCAAAGACATGCCAGAGAGAATGGAGCAGCTCCAGGACCAGATTATCTTAAACCAAGAGAAAATTAATAATCTTTCTCGGATTCTGAACCTGCTCCAGGACACTGAGAACTCTCAAGAGAATGATCTCAGAGATATCAAGTCTTCCTTAAGAAAGTTGGGGGTTACCACAGTCGCGGCTAAAGATAGGGAATATACTAAATTTAAAATAAACGAACCTCAAGATTCAGAGACAGTCGATTTAATCAACAGACTTCGAAAATTAGAGGACAGAATTTCAATGCCTTGAAACTCCAGTCCTAGGAAGATCTCTCCTGAGAAAAACATGTCTGCGAGAATGAGTAGGTCTCTCCAAGAAATGGAAGAAAGACTTACTCAGATGATAAGAGACCGACTTCCTTCAGAAAAATCTTCCAGAAAGTCAACATCAAGGAGTAAATCTCCTCATGGGAATTCTAAGACGGGCCCTAGCATGAAATTAATCGAAAAATCAGTGAACAAATGGACGGAAAAGGTTGAAGAGCAAGTCAACATCATTCAAAACCAAGTTGATGAGAAAGCCTCCATCAATGAAGTCAGACAAGCAATTGAGAAAGAAAGACATGAGAGATCTGAAGTCCTCGATAGAATCAATAAACTCGCTGAAAACTCAGAAAAAGTATCCTCCAGACTTGCAGAAGATGTCTATGAGACTGTTGACCTTAACAATAGAAAACTTAATGATTTTGAAGATAGGCTAACTCACTTACGTGAGTGGGTAGAGGACCTTTCTCAGGTTGATGCCCGTAAATATGCTCCAGAAAGCCCATCATTTGCTAAAAACCCTGGATATATGACCAAATCTGACCTTATGAATTTTGAAAAATAAACTAAATAAGAAAATTTTGGAGAGTTTAGATGAGACTAACTCTATTATGAAGAAAATTAAAGTCCAAAGTAAGGAACTCAACAGTAGAGTGAAAGCCTTAGAACAGAAGAGAGCAAGAAGTCGAAGCAAGAGCAAAAAGAGAGATCCAAAACCATATTCTTTGAAGAGAAAGGTAAATGATAATAGAAGTCTGGAGAAGGTTCCCCAGAAAAGAGCTAACCCTTCTTTGACATCAGAGATCACCTCAAATGATAAAAGAGGATATAATTCAACAGAGAGGTCTATCAGGAACTTGGTCACTGGCATCGAGCCTTATAAGAAGCAGGCAGATGTCGTGAGAACTATGGCTAAGCCAAATACCGTCTATAGCTATGTAAAGGAAGACAAGAATGTAGATAGTTCTAAGGATACTAAAGAGAACGAAGAGAGAAAAACTCTGAAGAGACCTTTTGATCCAGTAGTCAATGATTCCAAACCCTTTACTGAATTCATGACTTTTGAAGAAAACAATTCATCTGAATTGTTTGACTTGAGCGAGAACGAGTCAGTCACCAAGAATAGACTTGATAGTAAAATGAAGAACTCAAGTAGAAGTTCAAGCAGAATTTCGAGAAAAGAGACACCGAGCAAGGAGAATGTCAACCCCAACCAGATTCCTCAGAAACGTTCAAGAATTGCTGAATTTGAATCTTTGAGAAAGAAAAAGAAGAGCTCAAAAGGCCTAAAGAATAAGAGAAGTAGGAGTTCTAGGAACTCCAAGAATTCTCGTCGTTCATCAAAGAGAAAGTTAAGCTCAAAGAAGAAATTAAAGAGCTCTTCCAAGAAGCTGAAGAACTCTTCTGTTAAAAACAACTTGAAGCACCGGTTTAAAGACTCTAAGATAAAGAAGGTAAGGCTTTATCAGCTTTCTCATTTTCATCTGCAAGTTTTATTGAATGAAGCTTATCAGATTCTAACTGATATAGAAGACAAAGCCACAGGCTAAAGGAAGTAATATCAAACTTGCAAAATTGGAGAAGATGTACCAGGAGCTCTCAGAACTTGAATCAAAGTGTTGTGATAAGTAATTCAACCCCCATCTCACAAATAGGGGTTTTGGGGTTTTGGGGTTTTGGGGTG